TAAGTAAATTTTCAATCCGAATAACGATAAAAATGCTAATAGCACTGTTACACAAGAAATCTCCTACACTGTAGAAAATATTTTTCATCTGACGTAATGAAAAATTACCATAGCAAAATACTTATTACTTCATCGATTCGGGAGATAAAGTTTTACTTAGAAAACCTCGAAGACCGTGTTGCAGTTCGATTCAATGTTATTTAGATTGCATCGTGTCGAAGATCCATCGCTGGTTGGATCCACTGGACACGAGGATTTACCATAAGCTAGCGTCACGAGATACCTGTCGATATTTCTATTCTTCGAGAATTATTTGACCCTTTAAGAATTCCGCGTCGGTTCCAAGAATTCTCTACGTAACTATGTTCCATGTCTTCGGAATATTTATGCCCGGTTGAAGAATGGTACACAATCTCGTGTGTATAACTGTGAGCCATAAAGGAACTTAAACGCGCGCACCGTAATACGTCGCGAACGCAAGGTTGTACAATCCTTTCACTTTTATCCGACGATATCTTACCACCACCTTCCTTCGTTCTATCGTGATCATAAATTTCGATGCCGTGCAATTCAGGTTTACCTTGCAGCGAGCAAAGGTCGTTTACACTTTCTGCTGCTATTATCACTTCCCCCATATTCTGTTATATCGAACAACGGAATCGGGAAGCAAATATTTCGGTCCCTATACAATCTTTCTCATACATTTCTGTTCGTTTTATAAAATAGAGGAACTATAGATTTAATTTCAACATATTCCAGTCTATCAAGGTAGTTAGGAATTAAATCAACACGAATTTCAAAATTATTACTTTCTCCGATTACTTAGCACATTTTTTAACAGAAAACGAATAAAAGTGAAAGCAAAATTGCGCAACGTTATCAAATAAATTGCATTGCATTGCAAACTAGCGTGAAAATCAAGAATCGTCACGCATACTCTGTTATTTCTGGATGTTACCCTCCGGTTAATCAAAGAACAAAAATCTATCAATCGAAATAAATCGAGAATTGAAGCGTTATTTGGACCGAACTTGATAAGGTACTAATCGTACGATTCGGGTACAAGGGTTGCTTTGTTCTTTGAACTCCAATCCTTTATTTCACTTCTAGCTTTGCTCTTTAACTTTTTGACTCTGTAACTCTGCTCTGCGTTCTTCGACTCTTTGATGAGTTTCCACTCTTTGCTTTGACAGAGGGTTAATTAAAGTTCACTCTTCGAAACTAGTGCACTTTTAATAGCGTACCACGCGCGGTATACGCTCGTTACATTTGTCTCCAAGCAACTGAACGAATCAGAAAGAGTTGCACTTAAAATGATAAAAAAAAAAACAACTATACGACATCCTGTACACGCGGTAGTATGAAATAGAAATCTGGAAATTCAATTCCTTTTTGCGCAATTAGCGTAATTAAGCAGGAGTTGATTACAGTGAACGTACTTGCATTCACTAACGATGAGCGTAAAACGACCATTTCATAAGAACTGTGGAAGTAAAATTTAATTCTTTCTATATAAAAATACAATTAAGGTTAATTTAACTTTGTTATTTGAATTTCAGAGCGAGGATGCTTGCACCGTTTGCCTGTTCTGCGGTGGTTACCAATGGCAACTGTGCCCGGTTTGCAACGGTAGCAAAAGGTCCGTGCATCGCAACGACTTCACCGCGGAATTCGTCGCCCTGAAGTGTGCAAAATGCGATGTGAACGGTCTAATACGTTGTCCTCATTGCTAAAGTACGAGCATGAAGAGAAACGAGGGCTACGAACGGCATCGTCATCCTCGACGTTATTGCACTCGGCTTCCCATGGCTTACAACCCCTTCCCTTACACTCGGTTTAAGACTAAGGTGCTACGAGAGTATATTGCATGTTACACGTAACACGTCGAACGGATTCCTTTGTCCAGGAGCGTTCTTTCACTTTCGTTTAGAATTTTCGCCTTTGCTCGCCTCGAGTTTCAAGGGTTTATAGGAATTCGTAGGTAGAGTAGGATTTGAAAATTCGAGGGAAAACAACGCTCGCACGTATGTCGCGTGACTACTCCCGTCAATTGTAAAATATCGACTAATAAAGCTTATCTGAAATTTTGTAATATTAAAATGATGCATCTTCTTATATCGTCGCTGTGAGATTACATTTCGACGGATGTCTGTATTTTTATTTTATCACCGCAATCCTTTTTTATCCCTTTCTAAGTAATTCACTTGAATTTTTCCCCACGCATTTTATTTCACTACTGCGTGTACTTTAGTCGGTAGTCGTAAGTTCAGTGATATACAGACCCTCTTAATCCGTGTTCTTAAACGAACTTTATCGTCGTAGTTATTTAATCGATACAATTTCCGCTACACTTCCACCGACAGTCTCCTAGCGTTCCGTTATTCGTTTGATCCATTTATAAATCTGGTTTGTTGTTAATTACTACGTATCTGCGTGCTGTATAAATAGAAGAGAATACTTCTATTTGTAAGTCGAAGAGAATCTGACTTCAACCAGGTGAGTGAAACGTTCCAAATGAAACATCCTGTCCGATATCCCAGTCGAATCAAATAATTCTTTCACGTTTTCTTGCACGATCGACGAGAAAAAACGAAATTATTTCGAAACACGATGTCCGTTGTTCCATCGAAGCGCATTCCGTGAGAAAATCGCAGACACTAACGCGCTATTATACTCGAAGTTCCGCAATTAATGGCAACGAACAGGAAATACGTCTTTCCTGAACGTTCACGGCGACAGTTCTCCATAGAATGTTCTGTCCTATATTTTTTTCAGAACGACCGGACAAAACCTACTTTATGCCACGATTCAGGCTCCGCAATTAAATGCGACCGAGTATGAAACTATTGTGCAGCCTTTTCTTCTTCCATAGAAATAACCTTCGAATCCTCGTTTTCTTTGAACAATCCAGACGCGTAATCGCGAACCAGTTCCCTCGTAACCTGCTGTCCCAGATGATTGTTTCGAAAATAACGGTTCAATATAAAACGTGAGCTAGTTTCACCCTTGGTTAGCGAAGTCGGGTATAATTTAGAGTATAAATTTCAAATTCGGTTAATTTTTTTAAGATCCTGTATATTCAAAACGATTCGAAGTTATCGGTCTCGCGTCACCCTATGCAACGCCCAATTTATATTTTAATTTAAAGACGCGAGCCCTTCTTTCAATCGTGCAATTTCAAGATTGCCCATCGCGTTTATGTAAACGCACGGTGAATCTGAAGGAAAGAAAAATCATCGGTCGATAAGCGAACAAAGCAGCGATCGGAGGCTGTGCCAGTTATGTAAGTTCGTTAGTGTCGGATCAACGGTTCTATTTAAATTCCGTTTATTAACAACGCGAGATTGAAGGCTTCGTTATATTGGCACGCCTTCGCGTTGTCAATAGGAACTTTTGCGTAGACCCGTCACGTGTAACGACCGATCGACACCTTCTGGACTTTTAATCTGCGACCAGTCGATACGTCCACGGCGTACGCTTAAATATAAATGAAAAATGTGTATTTTTAAAGAGTACCCGTAAACCGAGTCAAGTTGCCTACGAATCGATCATAAAGTTCTACGTTACTCGATCGAACGAAGTATTACAGAATTAACGTTGCTTTGGCGTTTGAAACTTCGTTCGACCGTGTAATATCCGTTTATTATGTCTTCGTACGACAGGTATCGATTGATATTCCCGACCATTAAACAATTTTAGTTTCTCGTCGACGTGGCACGAGATGGTTAATAACAATCAACCGAGTGCCGGCCTTTCCTTGATTCTATTAAAAACTTCGATCTATTTCCACGATACATGACAGTTCGATAGGCTGCCAGTTATTTAGTGCTCCTCATTGGAGAGAGTTTAGGTTGACATTTATAGGTACTTATATTACACGGTGAGACCGCAACGTTTATTTTCTGGAATGAACAAAACGAGCGCAAGTGTCTGGACAAGCGAAAATTTTGACATGATTTTCAGTTGTAATTTAATTAAATCTTTGATTAATTTCTGGATTATAACTTTTAGAAGAACACAATACCTATAATCAGATTCAAATGTATTCTACTGAATGTATTTAAAATAATATTTATAAGGACAAAGCCCAAAGTGCTCATTAAACACAATGTTATTCTTTCCCTCGGCTCGCACAAGCTTTTATACCTTGCATCATGGCGTCGTTGAAATAACCAACCTCCAATTACTCCAAAGAGAGGGTAAAAGGCATTAACAATGAGAAACGTGTTCAAAAACCGTCCTCTGTGTTAATAAAAAGCGTAAAGCTTCGCGTAACGAAGTTTTTGCTTAAAAATGACAACAGAACCGGTGGGCGACGTTAATCTAAACATGAAAATAGTTGTATCTCGAGCGCGACGTTCGATATCGTTGATGCCTCGAGGGTAGCAAGTCGAACCCCAAAAGTTTAATAGAGGAAGACCGAACCAGTTGCCACAGTTTAACCGTTGATTACTTCGCAAGCAATATCCTGCTTACCAGAAATTGCTACCAACAAAATTATCCGTTAACGTTGCTCAGAACGTCTCGAGACACACTTGGGACTTCATTACAGATGCAATAGCAAAACTATTCACGATAATGATATCAATTATATATTATATATTTAAAATAAAATTCAGAAAGCCTTGTGAAATATTATTCGTATTCCTGTGGGACATTAAGGGAACATTTTCCAGGTTGCATCGGTCCTGCACACGTGGTTTCAGACGGAGAAATGCATGCACATATTATATTGAGCGTTGTCCCAGGCAACCCAGGGGAAAAAGTCGCGGATGTGCAACGTCAGCATACAATGAACTCAAATCGATCGTGGTTACACCAGTTGCGCCGATGCACGCGTGTACAGCCATACGCATGTACGAATCCGGGCGAAAGCAGCAACAAGATCGCTGGATCGATGTTAACTAGAGGCAGAGAATGGAACGCGAGGCCTCTGCCGACGGGAGCAAGGCGTAACCGAAGGTCGCGGGACAGGGAAAGTGGAGCGAACGGTGGTGAGGGTGGCGGGTGTCGAAAATCGGGAGGGACAGAAGCAGCGCCCTCCCTCTTGCGATAACCGCGAGTAGAACAGGTAAACTGGCGTCCGACATGTCGACCTTGAATGAATATGAATCGACGAGGTCCTTGAAATCCTTGTATTCTTATCGAATCCACCTGCCTAACTAAAAGAGCTTAATAATTAACACTTAGTTGATGAATTGTTCTAGGGATCATACAGTTGACGATGACTGGATCGTAAAGAAGACCTCTCCTCACGACCGAACCTAACGCACTTTGATGGTAATAACAAATTACTTCGATATTAAAAACTATACCCCATTACTCATTGTCAGTCAGTGTCTCGAGGTTAGCCTTGCCATATTACAGCAACAAGAGGAGCAGCAAGGAGAGGTTGATACACCCCTTCTCTCAACACTAGATATGATGGCTTCACCACCAAAAACGGGCCCCTGGCGTCGAGAGTGGGGGTTCCAGACACCTTTGCATGTGGTGTCGGCCACATGCTAGGCACCTCAAATGGGTACCAATGTGGCAGGTGTGGAGTGCAAATAGTCAAAACCTTTTCTTCTTGTTACATTTAAACTGTTCCCATGTTGATCGGATGAACCAGAGTCTAACTCCAATATAGAATTACTTGTTTAAATGTAAGATATAAGCCAACTGGATTTAAACCGCCATTTTCGAGGATGTACGATATCAAGGACATCTATGTGTTGAAATCGAGTCAAACCCTGTTACCATGGAGAAACACGACTTGTTTACGAAGGAGATTACACGGATGAAGCGATTTCCCGTTAAAAAAACGGTACTGCTTCCGGCAAAAACAATCTCCGGTAAAACTGCACGAAACGAGGTATCAAAATGAAGAGTACCTTACAGATAACAGAGTGTATCTATTTCAAAGAAAAATTGTAATTGTACAGCGCAGAAGTAAAACAGTAGATAATTATGTAAAATATGGTACACCCTATCGATTTGAGACACGTTACAGGGTCAATGTCCTGAGTAAGTCATATAGCTAACATTGTATTCTTAAGACATTCTATGATGCTGATCGTCAGTATTTGCTCTAATTTGACCTCTATAAGATATTTCAAGATCATTGGAATCGATCAGGTGTACTGATATACAATTACAGGTAAAAGGGAAGATCGCGCAAAAAGGATGCATTATCAGACACGAGTAGCTGTTGCCGAGACCTTCACCGAGACCCAGTTGGTCGACATTGCCCCTGTGTGCGTACCTACCGCACCCCGCCCTGCTGGCGCACAAGCAGCACCAGCACCAGCACCAGCACCAGCACCAGAACCAGTGCCAGGAATACGAGGAAGAGAGAGAGAGAGAGAGAGAGAGAGAGAGAGGGAGAGAGAGATGGTATATGGCGTCGGTAGGAGAGACCGAAGCAACCCCCTACCGTCGCGATCGGACGTGCTGAGGCAGCTTCCACCACTCCGTTCAACCCTCTGTTCACCCTGGCCTAGGGATTGCCTTGCTCCACGTCCCGTAACGTGTTGCTGCCGGCCAAGGGACCAGGAGAGACAGGGTGAGCGGAATAGGAAGAACAGAGGGGTAGGGTGGTACGCACGCGAGGGTCAAGGAGGGAAAAAGCACAGGATAGAGGGCTCAAGGGAACTACAGGGGACGCAGGCGCGAACGCAGACGCATTAAATCGACGAAACGGCGCCGAGCATTCCGGCATCGGCAGACAACGCGGCACGATCAACCGGAGGTAATCGTCGTGGAACCTGGGGCTACTTCGTCCTCAACACTTTCAACGCGTAACACCTATTTAGAACGCGAACAGAAGCTCGAGGAACGTTTAAACCGATCATGGGTGTCGTCAAGACTGCGTCCGAGAGCATCCTCGCGGAAACCGTGATACCCAGCGAGGAGGCCAATTACTCCGTGCAAGGTCACGCCGGTAAGTTTTCCTATTCTTCTACATTATCACTGATTCGAGGATGGAAATGTGGATTGGTTGATGTATGAAAAGTAAAAATGTGTTGAATGTTTACGGAATCGACACGATCAGGACGAAAGGAAACGGGCTTCGCGTTTAATCGTAGCGAGAATTTAAAGGCGATGTGGCGAACCGCCCACACGAGCCACTGCTAACAGGTGTTTGAAGATACAGATATACTGGATGCCACGCTTTGGCTATAGACGTTCCTCTCGACGCGTTTAAAACGTTTAACCCTTTGACGGACTAATAAAATTGCGATGAGAATGTGTACCTCTTTTTATGTTCTAAAGCAGTGTTTTTTAATCCTTTTCATAATACGGTTCTCTCTTCATCGTATTATGAAACTCTAAGTATTTGATAATGTGAAATTAAGTTTTTTTAATCATAAATTATACACACGTTTAGGGATAATACTTTACTTAAGATTTGAAATATTTATTCTTCTCAATGAGATTTTATTAAAATTTTGTTCTTTGTTTTCTTCATTTTTAGTTTCTTTTTATCTTAACTGTAACAGCTTGCGTCATTTCTTCGAACACTTGGAACACCTTATGTGAACATTGTGGCCCTCTGGGGGTTCATGGACCAGGTGAAAAATTGTAGTTCTAAAGTATTGCCTTTTCAATAACAGTACTAATAAATCTTACATGATAAGTTTAAAGATCTGAGTCATACTGAATTTAAAATCAAGTCCCATATCTCTAACTTTTATAAATTTTCAATGTCGAAATAATTAAAATAATCGTTCGGTAATATGTTGTTTCGTAGATAATATGGTCAAGCTAGACTGTTATTTGACATTGGAAATGTTTCAGTCGCTCCTTGAACGCAGAAACAAGGGTGACATTATTTTTAATCGCAATTAGCGATCAATGTGCTAAATTTAGAATCGATTAAAGAGGGTAACTTGAAAGTTGCGCTAACGTTTACCTGTTGAAGACGAGATGTATTCGAGGAATATTCGTGTGTCCAATTAGAAACTTCCATCTCTGTACCGATGTGCTCTGTAATTTCGTAACACTAAATTCGTCTCTGCAACAGTCTACTGTTTCGAAGTTCTTGAATTTCGAAATTGAAATAGAAGTGCTTAGATTTAACGCGATAACTCCCACGGTGTTATCCGATCTAATCTTCCAAAAAGGATAGGAGCGGTCACAGAAATTAGAGAGTAATCGCAATCAGTAATTAGGTATGAGGGTCAATTTTCGTAAATAATAAAATCTTTATCTCTGGTTTACGTGCGCGTATCACGATTTACTATCGCAGTTTATTTTAGGGAAACGCGTGGGCGATAAGTTTATTTCAGAACCGGCACACATCAATTCTATTTATATTTACAAAGGATCGATGCAGTGTTTAAAAAACAACAATTGCCATCGACTTTTCGCGTAGAAAGTACAAACAAACAAAACAACGGTGTTGATGTAAAATAAAAAAGAGAGAAGGATATTTATGGAACTTGGCAAAAAGTGGTGTAGCTAAACTTTTGCAAAGTTGTATATCTGTTGATAGAAGCAAGCTGGAAAGCTGTAGTAAAAGAGCGTATTTCCTTGGTTACTTTCCCGATGTAACGTAATTTCCCGTTTGTTTTCAAGGGAAACACGGAAAAGGTAAACCAGATACCGCGAATGCTACCAGCGAAAGGAGCAAACCTGCGTCATATTAAAGACGCGGAACAATGTGGTAGCATCGTCCTTGGCCTCGTAAGAGCGCTTACGGCTCGATAGAGAATTCATAGTCTTCTGCAAATGGCAAATTTTAAGCGAGCATCTTCACAGGACGATATTAACACGACCCCTGACTAATAAACTTTCTCACCCGCTTGAATTTCCGCTATATTTAAATGTTCCCTCTTTCAGACACCTCTTATTTCGCTCCACCTCTAGACATTTGTTAAAATAGAATCTTATGGAATATTATAATCTCAACCCATTTATATAAATTCCACGTTTTTCAACAGTACGAATGTCACAGTTATTAATAGATATATATCTTTTTATTTTTCGTCAGAAACTCTCCGAATGGTCCAATTTCTTCCTATTTCATAACTGTCGCGTTTATCCATGCACAAAATACTAATTGGTATCCCGCTAGGTTGCTCGGTCAGCATCGATCGAGTCAATGCTACTAAATTGGCTCTTTGATTCGAACCACGGGGTTATTTTTGAAACAGAGGAAAGAATACATCCCGGTTACTGGAAAATATTTCATTAACAAAGCTTGTATCGACCAACGAAATTCATTAGCGATAACACTCGCTTTATATCATTCTGCTAAGCGTTATTTCGCATGTCTGGTATTCGTACAATTGCAAGAGGAATTAGTTTGCAACTTTGTAATTAAATAATTGTACTAATGTTCGTATATTAATAACGAGCTTGCGAGATAGATCCAAACGAAATTACTCCAACATGCCCTAGATGCATATTAACAAACTTAAAATAAAAATGCAAGGGTAATTACGTTACGTTGAAGTATCACGTAATGGTCAATGTGTCCGTTGATCTAAAATGATTGATTGAAAAGAACATTTCTTCTTTTCTTCCTTGATTATTATACCGTTTCTCTGATAGAGGAGGGCAAAGATCAATGAGTGGAAGTGAAACTGGTCAATAATGCGTGGGTTCGTACCAGTCTCGTTACCGAACGTCTAAGTTGATGTTGACCAAAGCTACAGGAAATCTGGAGAAAAATATGAAAGTATAGAGAGACACGAAGTAATTGAAAACCTCCAAGAGTAGAAAGCTAAGTGGAAATGTGAAGGTTTGGAAAAATATGGATAGCAAACAAACCTGGCTTCGTTACTTCGACGTAAATATTTTCAGTAATTAAAAAACGATATTCCCGATGGTATAATGCTGAAGCAGGGTTTTTGAAGAAAATCATATTCATCGATTTTGAATATTTTTCAAACTGAATGCATGTGCGAGCATTCGATGCGGGAACATGGAACGGTCAAGGACTGTAACATACGGTTCGTACACTTAACGAGAGTGCACTGTGTACATGGACATGTGGAAATCCCATGGAAATCCACGCGTTTTCCCCGAGTTCAAACTTAATTGAACGATTCATCCTCCGTACGATATTGCTGCCTAATGGACGAAGGACTTTCAAATATTCCTGCACTCGGTTTGATGCATATTTAACAGGCGAGATCCTAACTGGTGCACCGGTCTCAATTATTGAACAGAATTTCTATTAGGTTATAAGTAGCAAAACTTGTCGACTTGTAAATAGCTTTATGGTGTCTTTTATAAATAGACGAGAATATTGTTTGTTTCTAATACTAGTTACAACTCTGTTATTAATGTTCATCTATTTTCAACCCTTTGTTTTACAAGCGTGAAAAAATACCACCATAAGAAAGATATTAGAAATAATTTAGGATTCGATGTAAATATTTCATTGGTGTATCGAATCATTTCGAGCAAAAATCTTCGACCAGCAGGTAGAAGTTCCTTTCGGAAACGTACGACTGATTTAGTATTAATAAGGATAAAGGAAAGGCGAGGATCATGTGGGTCCCAAACGAGCCCGAAAACATATTCTCCACGAACTATAACCATTTTTTGCGTTCTCCTGAATCGTTATTTATGGGAACATCTCAAGGTTGCGTTTTTTACGATACTCCTGTTGCTACCGTAAAGTTATTCTCGAATCGTACCGTTGTTTATTAGCAAATTTAAGAAACTTTAGCGACGTTTATACATTTTTAAACATGTTGCAACTTCTTTTTTATCAAATATTTCCATGTAAATAAAAGATCTTTCCGTCCAAAGGAAAAAAATTCATTTTAAATTTGTGTTTATACTTGCGTTCCTTTATTTTTTACTTCGAAGATCAATGAAATAGATAAGACAAAGTTTGATTCGTCATTTTTAAAACATTCTGTACTTTTTCAAGCTTAAAGAAAGAACCCCGCGATTGAGACCACTCAAGTCTTTTATTTGATTGAAGATAAAGGAAAGCAATGAAAGAATGACTTATCTTCCTGCGATTTTACTTCCTTGAAATTGTAAAATTGCGGGAAAAAATACACGGGTAAAAATTGTATATTTTTCGTGCCAAATATTTCAAATCTGTTGAATATGAAAAGCTTCGATGTAATAGAGTTACATATTCCTGAATACATTACGAAATATTTGAAATTTTATTTTGTAAAAAAAAAAAAAACGAGCGTTCAGTGTAAATCACCTTTTCACCCTCGACCACCATTCACCCTTAAAGAACATACTGTAATTCACATTTTTTTAAATCTTTCACGTGTAATTAATGGACACTTTATCATTGAAATAATCTAATAGGATTAAAGAACGTTCCCTGAAATGAAGTTTCTCTCGTATCTTCATATTTTATACTCAACGTATGGGTAGTCATTAATTTACTCGTAATTTAAACACAGAATTATGCGATTCATTCGCAGAGAGGAATTTTGCAATTAGCTGATGCATTTTTCTAACAACAAAGGAATTATACTGTAGAAGGATTTATTTAAGTTTATATATCAAGCTAGATAAATTCAAGAGATCGTATTTCTCTTAATTCACCTAGCGTTTCCAGCCTGCTAGCTGGTGAACGGGTCAGAATTAATTTCACTTCCGTTCAAAGAAACCGACGACGTGTGTAATATGAGCAGAATAATCATAAGCAACGATTATCACGGAACACGTGTATGTACATTATTGGAAATCTCGTCTCCGGGCGATCAAATCGAAGCGCAAGCACATTAGTACGCGCGGATCATGAGATTACAGGAATTTGGGGGCCATTAGTCAGCCAAATGTTGTTATTATTATGGCGCGTGCTGATTAATTAATTGTCAACCGAAAGGTGAATCTCCTAAATCCTCTGGAAGTTCTACGCACGCTGTTTCAAGTAAGCCATCATTAGTCTTCTTTGTCGTAATCCTCGGTTTTATCAGACATTGTTTCGCCCTCTCCGTCGTATGTGTCCGT